ACCAGGTTAAATGTTTTTAGTATAATTCTGTATATATACAGGGTGTCCCAAAAAAAACATAATTTCGATCTGGACGACCACCAGTATCGGAAGATATTACATTTGTGAAGTTTTGTGAAATCGGTTATAAACTCTACATCACTCTGAATTTCTTGTTTGAATTCTGATAAATAAATCTTGTATTGTTCAACATGAAGCCTAATTAATTGCGTTTGCCAGGACATGTAGTTACTCAGATATTCACGTCTCAAATGATGTCAATTTTTTTGGGACACCCTGTAGTTTTTTGCATGTCGTCTTCTCCTGTTTATGCTGGATTTCAGTGCACAGACGTGTGTAATATTTTATACACTGTAAAGAAGTTCACTGTAAAAAGACAGTAAATTTTACACTACTAGCTGCATCACTTTCACAGTAATTTACTGAACCATATTAGTACAAATGAACCCAACATTACAGTGATGTTATTCTGCTGTAGACTCACACTAATAAGCTGTAATCACATAACAGTAAATACAACGGCAAAAGTAATGCAGGTTAGCAGTGATTTATTGCAAATTTACATATAAAAATGTATTTAATCAGACTGTGGCATGCGCCCGCCCCCCCTTGGCGAGGACGGCAGGGAGAGAGCCGCGAGTGGGGAGGGGGCGGAGCGCAAAGCCCGAGCTCCGCCGAGGGACGCGAGTGACGGCAGGAGGAGGAGGACGGGGACGATGGTGCCGGCCACAAGAGGCACCAGGGCAAGGAGCAAGTCCCGAGCTGCCAGCTGGGGGCGGTGGAGCAGCGAGCGCTCTCCCTCTCGGCTCAGGTGCTGACGCTGACCTTAATGAGAGCCAGGTGATGCTGATCTGGCTGGCAGCGCGAGCGCCGTTTTAAAGAGCTGAGAGAGAGAGAGTGAGAGAGAGAGAGAGAGAGAGAGAGTGAGAGAGAGAGAGAGAGAGAGAGAGAGAGAGAGTGTGAGAGAGAGAGAGAAGCCGACAAAAGACTGTGGACGAGCTGAAAAGCTTGAGTAAAAAGACTGAAAAGTCGCCGTTTTAAAGAGCTGAGAGAGAGAGAGAGAGAGAGAGAGTGAGAGTGAGAGTAAGAGAGAGAGAGAGAGAGAGTGAGAGAGAGAGAGAGAGTGAGAGTGAGAGTAAGAGTGAGAGTAAGAGAGAGAGAGAGAGAGAGAGAGAGAGAGAGAGAGAGAGAGAGAGAAGCCGACAAAAGACTGTGGACGAGCTGAAAAGCTTGAGTAAAAAGACTGAAAAGTCTAGCCAGCTAAGGCCACTGAAAAGACTGAAACACAGACCTATAAATATGTTGATTGAAACAGCAGTGAAAATGTATTCTCCATGTTTCACACTGTATATGCACTGCATGTCTTAAACATGTTTGTTTTCAATATTTTAAAACTGCTAATTCAAAATTTAACAGATATTTTTAAAAATTGTCAAAATTCCAGTGATCCATCTAAATAATGAAAAACAGCCCAGCATAAACTTTAAAACAGCAAAACCAGAACAGTCAGAATAAAAACTCTTAAAATGCTTTTTTAAATAGATGTTGACACCTTTTCAGTGCTGTTAAAGCAGTTCCTGCAGATCTTCAGTAACAGAAGTAAAAACACAGTTAGTGTAAATATTGTAATTACTTTGTAGTTTTATTTTTCGAGTTAGTTTTTCACGTCTGCATTTACAGACACTGAACTCTGTACTGTCAGCACTTAAATGCATTCAGATGCAATTACTTCTGTACTTTTACTGAGTATTTCTGCTGGTACTGAAGTACTGAAGTATTTCGCTGCGTTCACTCTGACAATAAACTCATTAAACGTTTCCTGATGAAGATTACAGATGAAACAAAGACTTTAAAACTGATCTGTTTATTATCTCAGTGTGTGGAATGTAACCGATCATTTCATTTAAATAAATCTTTATTACATTTACAATGAGACGGACGAGCCGCTCAGTGACTTAATGCAGGAAAACATCTCCAGCAGGTCTTCAGCTCACTTTACCATCATCACAGCACAAACAAACAAACAAACAAACACACACAACTTACAGCTGAATGAGAATCTGAAGCTCCATGAAGTTGAATAAATAAATAAATAAATAAATAATTGAGCGAACAAATGAATGAATAAATAAATAAATAAATCCTCGTTCAGTCCCTCCAATCAGCGACAGTGATTGAAACACAGAAAACGCTTCTTACAGTTTATGGCTCATTTTACACAGTAACTGATTCTCTCTGGAATCTGGAATAAACCAGTTTTGTAATAATGATTTGGAAAATAAAAGAGAATTAAATTCACATCTGGATTAGAAACACAGGAATGAGGGCGGAAAACAAAATCATAAACACTGACCGCAGATCAAATTTCAAATCAAAGAAAGGAGAATATATTCCAGTGAATCAATAATAAACTCACATGTTCTGATCTGCAGCTTACATTTCTAAAAAAACACATCATTAAATAAACAAATAAATAAATAAATATTAACTTCATAAGCGACAAACGTAGTGCATAGTGTAGCAATACCGCTGATTACACATTTAACTGCTGTTTATTCAGTGTT